TGTGTGTGTGTGTGTGTGTGTGTGCGTGCGTGCTTGTGTGTGTGTGTGTGTGTGTGCGCGCGAGCATGAACAGTTAAGACCATGACTGCTGTGAAGCACCCTCTGTTATCACCACGCCGGGAATTTACTGAGTTAACCTCAGATGACATTTGCCCTCAATACATCAGCCATTAAATACAGGCTCTGAAATGTGCTTTGAATAAAACGTAAGTCTTTGGAGGACGTTTCTACCAGCTGTTGTGCAAAGCTAACTTAACCTTGTTCTATATTAATGCAATAATAAAATAATGTTAGCATATTGCTGCGGAGGTGTGGTCAATGGCTCAGCTGCAGGGGAGGTGTGCCAGTGCCAGGGAGATTGGAGGAACAGGTGGAGGTGATCCATCTGATAAGATTTTCCTTCTATTTCAGAATGAGGTTCTGGTTGTTTGGCAGAAATGGTCCATTATGAATGTAAAAAATAGTGAATATTTCAGCATCGTGGTAGATGAGATGAAGTGTGTTACGAAACAAGAGCAGATTTCATTTGGACTTTGTTCCTTTTATAAATGAACAATCAAGGAGAGTTTTCTACATTCTGAATCTGCTGGGAGACTAGCTGCAGTGCAACTTGAAAAGACTGTCCACTTATTGAAATGCCATGGTTTACAGAACAAAACTGTAAATTTGGTCATAAAGTGCCACTGACAGTTGGCACAGAGTTGAAATTCTTTGAAGAAATCATCATCTTCAATGCAAATTTATTTCCAGTACACTCAATGTAACTTCACACTGAGTATGAAAGCACAGCCGCTGTGCACCAGTCAAAGACTTTAATTCAGCACATTACTGCAGACTAACCTGCTCATCGTGGACAAAACTACCCAATATTTTCATTCGACATTTTATTTTATTTTTCATTCAGCACAAACTTTGTATAGCAAGGTTTTTTGCCGTATGTTTCCCAAAATAGAAACACGTAATGTATCAAAGCACGCCAAATGAAAATCCAATACGTTGTCAACATTTTGTAGTTAAGTGCCCCGGCACATATTTATCAAACTTTGCAAATGAGAAGCAAAAACTGCTCAAAGTGATAATTTAAATTTGCTGTGATGGCTTTTTCAACACATTTGTACTTACATTTACATTTACATTTGTCAAAGTCAACATACAAGGAATAAAAAAGAACTTGTCCCACCGTTAATGTAAGTTCTAACATGTACAGTCAATTAAAAAACAAACCATAAGTGTAAAAACATAAAAAATTAAAAAAGTTAGGCTAAGCGGGTTGCGTGAGTGCACACAGCTTTAAACTAATACTTTGTTCACACAGTTTTTGATTTACAGTTTTTTACAGCCGCTAACAAGCGCCTACCCATACTTCAGATACTTTTTTCTAAACTCTTAACACAGACCCACACCTACAAAACACAATTGGCCAAATGGATAATATCCTTCCCAAAAATACACTCTGGTAAATATATACTAACTCCTAATTTCAAAATTAGAACACATCTTTCTCTGCACACACTAACTGTACAAAAACACTATAAATCTGACTCAAAATGAAATTACTCTGTCAAAGAATAACACTTGTCTTCACTTCACAAGGTACATGCAGTCAATCAAAGTACACCAGGTGTCAAAATACTGGCTATTATTGACATTACAAAAACTGCACAGACTTTTATGTTTCAGTTTTACAGGTATGTGCATGCGAAACATGCAATCCACCATTTTGACACCAGAAATGTCTTGGTTGGTAACTGCATGTCCACATGTACAGTAATGTTCACATTCAAAAGCATTCCAGTAAAAAGCAAACAAGTTTCTGTGTCTTTACTGTTTACTACAGGAGGTACAGTAGAAACACGGTATGATAGGACAGAGAAAGTGTCACAGTATTGCATACAGTGAACAAAATATCCATGGAACACACAAGAGCATTCTGAACAAAAAAACAACAGCAAAAAGCCAAGATAAAAAGGGGGGGAGGGGGGCTAAAAAAAGGCAAAAAAGTTGCATCTAATCTCTGCGATCTTCAGGGTTAGGCCACATGTTTTCATCAACATCACATCTGATGTCAGCCAAGTCGATGCACCTGGGATAAAACCGCCTGGTATGTC